ATGCAAAGTTATCAATAACACTATAAACATTAAAAAAACACTCATAACATTTAAAAGACAGACAGAGCAAATTATGTTAAAGTCCCTTGCTTGCACTTTACTCTTGAACACAATAAAATACTTTAGTCTAAAATAAAAATTATAATTTTAATAACAATAAGTAATTGGGAAACATTGGGTTGTGAATAAATTTACTGCAAAATTAAAATATTATCATTTAAAAATGTCTTATTTGCACAAGTTATGTTGATGTGATATTTATTTCATTGCCACTAGAATGGATGACTTTCTAAATAATAGTTAATTGAAGAAATTTGTTTAGGAATTACTTAACATTAATAATATTATTAAGAAGTTAGTAAGTACTTCACCTAAATCAAATATTATATAGTAAACCTAAGAGTAAAACATCAGAGATTTATCATTGTTTTCCCAACAAACATAGGTACATATTATATTTTTTAATATGTATTTTCATGTAATAAAAATAAAAAAATATTGTAATAAAACAATGATGATGTTCTTCTAGCCGATTCCGGCCACGGCGGCCAATCTCAATGAGATTAGCCAACTGCGCAGGAGATATTATAGTGCTCTCTCTATTCCTATCACTCTCATACTCCGGTGGGACGACTACTCGACACGACCGGTGAGAGTTAAGGCGCAGGACCGACGGCTTTACGTGCTCTTCGAGGCACGGGGGTGAAACACCGCCAACTTCCCAACTCCGGGCTGCTACTGAGACTTACTATACAGGAAGACTCAATAACTAAACTAGGCCCGACCCGGGACTCGAACCCAGGACCTCCGGGTGTGCAGCCGTACATGTTAGCCACTACACCACCGCAGTTAATAATAATAAAATAATAAGTACATGTGATAATGAATTCCCTACTAGCCCCTACGCTCATAAAAACTGTATTGTAGGAGATTTATCATTGACGACCTGTTAATTCTTCAGTTTATTCAGCTTCAATAAATTTTTATCCAACTTTAAAATATGTTCCATTAGACATTTTTATATATTTTGGCGGAGAATGAGTATTACCATAATCTGCGCTATTTTTCCATTATCATCTAATTTGACTCTAGCTTTACAGCTTCCAGATTGCTTTTTTGAACAATAATAATTGTTTGTTAATTTCATCTGCGAATACGTAAAACCTTTTATCATCAGAAAGTTTTTTCCACGCTGTGTCGGAATAAATTCATATCCATAATCTGAAAATGTTAAATCTCCTAAGAATTTCAATAATATTCATTCATTTTGGTCTTTTTTTCTTTATTGCAAATAAAAATGTCTATAAAATCAATCACTGGTACTGTTAAAAAGTATCGAATGCATTAATCTGTTTCATTTTAGTAATAATTATAATTATTATGTATAATATAAGCACAATTTATTCGTGACTATTTATTACCTGTTATTTTTATATATTTGTTTTTCTAATTACCTTGCTATATTTATAAATATAAATTAGTAAGCAATTATTTATTTTAATTATGTTTAATTATTCATTACTTTAACAGTTAGTTATGTTACTTTTACATAGTTGCCAAATCTATCTTTGCGATAATCATAAGGCTCATGTATATGTTCCATGTAGGCCTCCAAAATGTCTTTATGATTATGATCCATTTTAATAAAAGCTAAACAGCGTTTATGGCGTTTAGAGCAATACCAAAGAATGGCATTTTTATTCCGAGCATCTTTCCAGTATGTATAGCCGTCTAGTAATAATAAATGACCTTTCCTCGTTGGTATATATACTATGCGGTCTGAAAGAAAATGCTGATTGTGACAACTGTTTACATCTAGCAAAAACAAATTCTTATCAATTTCTAGGGACATAATGGGTAATTATGATAAACAAAGAGTTCTTAATAAAATTTAAGTCAATCTTGATCTTCTTTACTTTTCTAAACTTTTCAAAAAATAAATAAATACTTAAATAGTGTTATAAATTATTTATTGAATTTTACTTACTCTCTGAAATATACACAATGCAAGAAAATTTATAAATAAACACACTTTTTAATATATTGTAGCACAATCTTGTGTTGCACAAGCAACCACACGATAATTTTTAAAATTGAATTTATACTTTCCATAGTTTATACCATCATCTTAGCAGATATTTGTCCCGAAATCTATGTTGTATAATTCATTAAATATACATATAAATTGTATTTTTAACATTTACTTTTTGATCTACATATAATATATTCAATTATTTTAATTTATAAAGTACTTATAATAACCAACATAAATAGTTTCCTGTTAACAACATATTCTATTAAAAACACATATTGTATTTGTATTGTAAATAAAATATATTGAATTTGAACAATAAAACACAATTTAGTTAGATACTTAAATACACTGACCAGAAGTTCTTAGGTGACTATTTACTTCAGAATTATTTAGTTATGAGTTCCATATAAAAATTAACTAAAATTACTACTCGTGACAGCCAAAACTTTAACAAATATAAAACTTATTCTAGGTACCTACTTACCTTACTGCCGCCTTTTGGTGAACCATCCAAACACCATAATATTAGGGCAAATTAGAATTTCACTTCACCATACAACACTAAAACCCATGAATTTCACTTAAATTTCACTTATTATTTTGTAAAACGTATAAAACAAAATATTTAACTATTGACATTGTTTATAGGTTAGGATACACAACTTTTGCAAAACACTCCACTTATCCCTAATTGCATATTATAACACTAATAAGTAAAGATTCTTTATCATAATTGTTCATACATATCTTGAAATTATGCCCGAAATTGCGTGATAAAAATTATTTGTAAATATGAAATCGTAGTTTTTGACAATTCTTAACAACAACTAGTGACGTTGCTGAAGCAACGGTCGGTAGTTTGTTACCGTATTTATTCGTAATGTTAAATCGACTACCTATTATATTTCGTGTTGGTAGTACATTTCTCTCTAATTATTTAAAAAAAGCTAATTAAACTATATACATACAAATTTTATACAGTAAAAATAATTTTGAATTATTTTTCTTAGATATTTATTATAGCGGTATATTTAATAACCGTAAAATGTAACACTACAAAAAATGTAACGCACATCCCCAGGGAGTTGACGTTTCTCGACGCTTAGAAATAACCTAAAATGTGTATTGTTTATTTTCTTCAAAAAACAATTTATTATCCGTTTCATTATAAATGTGTTTAAAATAACGTAATATAATTTTATGTGGCTATTATTTATTTAATTTAAAACAGATCACAGTGTCTAAGTGATTATTTTTAATTTTCCATACCTAAGTGCTATTTCTAAACATTTTAATTCTTATCTCCACATTTTTTAGTAACTAATTGTAATTTTATCATGTGGACAACTTAAAATATTTATTTGTGATATATTGTGGTCAATAATTGTGTTTGAAAATGTGTTCAGTTTCATTTATTCGCAATGGCGGGAAGGACGTGTTCATAGGTACCAGGTCTGTACATTTTAACTTTAATTTTATATACTTATTAAAGTGACTGAGGTGTTCCATTATCATTTTTATACACTTAAATTATCATTTGATATTTCTCTCATGTGTAGTTAATGAACAATCTTGTATTTGATAAGTTCTATTGAGCTGTACTCAATTTCTTAACTAATAAAGAGTGTTTGGACTATTATTTCTATACTATTAGATTTAGTTTTATGATCTTTTAAGACATGAAAGGGCTTTTCACGTTTAAACCATACTACATAAGTGTTTAAGTTATTTAAAACTGCACAAAATACTTAAATTATTTTGTATATGGGATTTTTTGTAGCAAAAAAAAAAACTTATTTTCTGTTATTCTTAATTTATACTTACTAAGATTTTAAATGACCTAAATATGTCATTGTAAGAATGTTTGCAATTTTTTTCTAAATATAGTTTTTCTCTTTACAGGTATGTTGTTAATAACATCAACTGAAAAAAATCTGATTTTCATGGCAAGTTACTAAAATTTTTGATCTTTTAAAATAATTAAATAAAAACTTCTTTATTTAGTAGTGTACATACTAGTTATAAATAGATAGATGTTTAAAAAATACTTCCTACTTTTTTGAGATAATTACTTATAGACAATGAAAGTATAGTTAAAGTGAATGAAAAAGAATTAAGTTAATAATAGTATAGTAATTATTATCTTCAATTCAATTCAATTTTCTTATTAATAACTTCAAAACTTTTATCAGGCAATATGGTGCTTGTAGTATTTAAATTGTTGTCAGACTTTTTCCATATTTTTTGTTTTAATTTGATATCAGTATAAAATAGGATAAAATATACATGGTAATTGAGTTAAATTTAATTTTATATTTTAATTACATAATATTTAACTTGTGAGTACTAATAAAAATAATTAACAGATTTTTTATTATATTATTGCAAGTATTTCAGGAATATAGTGGCACAGTAATGCCGAATTTCTAGGAAATTTTATGAAGAAGAAGAATAAATATATATTTTATAATTATATTGTTTTTTACACTAATAATTTAAGAAATAATGATAAATTTAATCCTTTTTGCAAAATAAATAGATTTCATGCTATTTATCACAAAGACGGAGAAATTTACAACAATAATATACTTTTTAAAATTTTGACACATATATAATATAACATTTGCATTCAGACAGACAAATATTTTGATAAATTATGTGAAAATACTTTCTTTGATTTACGGTAATATTTGACATTTTAAATAAACCATTTTTTTCAGATTTTTTCTCAGATTTATTTGAATTTTGTGAAAATTCAAATAGTATGTGTAAGACTATTTGATAATTTTCAAATGCTATCTGCATTATAAGTTTATTTTGAAGTGTTTCAATTATGAATATATAAGGGTAACATACTATATACATATGTATGGATACTAATATATCTATAGTAAAGTAATTATATAGGCAGGACTATAGCTGATATGTGAGACTCGAGTCAAGATTTGACTTATCTTCTGGAGAAATGAAGACTTTTTTGGAAACGGTACATCGAATTTTGAAGTAAATAATTAATATGTGAACTATCGCCAGTTTTCTATGTGATAATAGAAATAAATCTGTATAAAAATAATTTTAGTGTTTTAAATTTTAGTTAATATGTTTTAATTTGTTGGGAACATAGAACACCGTAATCTATTTATTTTTGTAAAATTCATGTCATGAACCATTTATATTTTATAGATCAAATGTTTTTTTTGTATTCCTGCAAATTGGTATTGTTTTTTTGAATACATTATTATATTTAAAAAGAATTTAATAGGTATATATTTTTTTCATCATTTAATTTTAAAGTTAGTAGTTTTTTCAAGCTCATGCTTCGGCTAGAAAATACTACCTAATTATGTCTAAATAAGATTGCATGCATCTAAAAGGTAGATAGTAACAAATTATAATTGTCATATTTTAATTAATAACGCATTATTAATTATTTTTTCTTTAACACTCATTATTAATTGCAGATGCTTTAATAATTCCATCTCGAAAACGTTCAAAATACTCTCAAGGATTATTACTTTATCAAGGATATACATATTCTGTACGGAATTTAAAAAAATCTGGCACATACTGGACATGTTCCAGCCATCACAAAAAGGGTTGCAGAGCAAAGTTAACTACTACTGTAGATTGGGAGAATACTACGAAGGTTGTTGATTTGTGCTCAGTGCACAACCATCCTCCACCTGAAGTTAACTTACCCAATGGAATAGAATATATAGATGCTTAATACTTTTGTCATTTGGACCCAATTTTTTTTTTAATTATTATTATGTGACCTTTGTATTTTAATTTTAATAAAAATCATTCAAACTTACTATTGTTTGGTCTTACCTAGGTATATATGGTAAAAAAAAAAGGTTGATTGTTTTGATATAATGTTGGTGAGATTAGTTTTAAGACGTTCCGTAATTTAAGCTATATAATATATATATCATTATATATCATTGTTTAATCTCCCAAAATTCAGAAATGGTAATGAACTTTGTAAAATTTAAACAATATAAAATTATATGTATAAGTATAAAAAAAAGATTTTTGAATGTTTTTAAACACTTTATTTTTCAGAAATACAATTTATAACATCAAGGCGAGGTAAACAACTTTTAGTACATGAACAATATGTTTTTGCTAGGAACAGTGTAAGTAAAGCTGGTGTTGCGTGGGCATGCTCGTCACGATGTTCTAAAAACTGCAAGGCTCAAGTGTGGCTCTCAAATGAGGGTGCGTTAGTCGTTATCAATTCTAATCATAGTCATGAACCGCCTGTATACTATGTAAACAATAATGGGCATTACGTAAGAATATATAAATAATGTATTTCTTTTAAAATAAATATTTCATCTAAGTTGCTAAAGCTTTACATAAATAAAATTTGACAAATTTTACTATTTTGACATATATTCGAGTGTATGTCGTGTCGTACGTCAGACATACGACATGCGGTACGGTATCTGTCGTACCCGAATATGAGCTGTGCATTATCTGAATAGTATAAGTAAATCACATTAGTGTGGGTAGACAACCTATTACACAACCCGTAAGCATTTTTGGACTTCTTTACGATCTTCACTAAAATTAAGATGATTTCTAGGGATAAGATTTTATCTTGTCATATATTTAATGTCACAAGATAAACTTAGATTCAACAAAATTAATAGGTATTATTTATTACTAAGTAAAGAGAAATATTATGGTGTCATAGCTGGCTAAGTAGGATTATTTTAATTACATAATAATTAAATAATTTTTGTCTAGGCAAATAGAAAATTTGGTGGACCAGATATGCGTAAGTCATAATTCTGAAAAAAAACTGAACTAAAGCTCTTGCTTCGTATATGTGGGAATGGCAATCAGGATCTAAGAATAATGTATATATATATATATATATTATATTTCTTGACACAGTTCTTTCTTCCATGTATTCTCATAAATTATACAACTTATCTAAATAAATCGAAACAATAAAACAAAAATGTCTATTAAATTAGCAGTAAGTACTAAATGTAGGTATATTTTTGAGTAGGTATTAGGACATGTTTTAACTTTAAACTCCTTTTTCTAGGACCTATGTTCATTACATCCAAAAGGGGAACGAAAGTTTTATTATTCCAACATTATACCTTCTGTAAGAAAAATTTGAGGAAAGACGGTTCATCTTGGGCCTGTACGTCTCACAGCTCTAAGAAATGCTTTGCTCGAGTATGCCTTTCTAACGATGGTATCGTAAGTGTTGTTGACCCTAACCATTGCCATGAACCACCTAGTTTCTACATAAACCAAGACGGGGAATATGTTAGAATGTAAGAAGGAGTATTTTAAATTTAGATTTATTATTACGTATATGTATACGATTTTAATGCCAGAGAATAATATCGATGTTGTAGTACATTTTAATGTATGTAGGTACTTCTAGTCCATATATCGTGTCATAATGGATCCTCTTCGAAAGTAAGAGTTTATTTTTATTAAGTAAATTTGTACTGGCCGTACAGTTTGTTATTTATTGTTGTTTTTGTATGTTTTGCTAGAAATCTGTGAATAAGATGAGAATATCTGAATACTCTATATATAGTTGCGAAGGGATCATAGTTAAGTATAAAAATATATAATGATTTAGAGCTCGTACCCATACATTTTTATCTTGCGGGAACTATTTGTCTTTGTCTCTTTTATCTGTCACGGGGGAATACAGACAACGGCAGGGCTGCCAGTAGACTGCAGAGTCAAGTTATTTTATACCATCGAGTTTTTTAAATTATACACAATCGATAATACTTTAACGCGAAATAGATTAACGCGAATGTTTCACATTTTAATAAAACTATGTTTTCGAATTTCCGCGAAAAAATCCTAAATGATAGTTTTATTAAAAATATACACAATCGAATCTTATCATAAATAATCAATCAATCAAATCAATAATCTTACATCAACAAAACTTTGAAAAATGATAATAGAAAACATTATTTTTCAATTTTAATGAAAAATATTTTGCATCAAATTTTCAAGAGTAAAACGCAATGTTTTCTAATTAAATATAAATATTAAATAATAATTAATAGTCACATTATTATTTTTTAATAAACTATACAGCAGGTAACTATACCTGCGACTCGGAAGAGACTAAAGTTGCCTATAGAGTGACTTCGTACAATATGTGCATCAAGCAAAAGAATTTATATATTATTTATAATCGCGTCGCTCAAATTAATCGCACTCATATTTTCATAGCATTCTGCTCGACATTAGCGCGGCAATATGACCTTATTTTTTCTGTGACAATTTTTGACTAGTAAATATTTTTTTTGTCCAAAAACGTAATTGTCTTTCCTATAAACTATTTTTTTTTTCAAATCTGGCAAAAACAATATGCACAAAGGCTATATGATTATTTATTTTTAATAAATTTATAATGATAATAAAAAGTATTAGTTAAATATATTACAAGAAACATATTCATTTTACCATTATATATATATATATATATATATATATATATATATATATATATATATATATATATATATATAATGGTAAAATGAAAATACGTAAAACGTTGAAGCACAATATTTATTGTATAATTGGCCAGGATAAAATTTCCCCAGAGGCTAATATTTTATCGTGAATGGATCTCTCCATTACCTATATTTTTATTTTATTTCGCTAGCTTCAGATATATTTATCTAGATTTCAATATGGACTAAATCGCTGGCCACTATTTTTATACAGAATATCTTTATCGAAATGAAATGTTCTGTCACATGTGGTTCCTTTTAAAATTTTATATGAAATAGTTCGCCAGTAGTCCTTTTGTTTTAATGTTCAGACCAAGATTTATTTGAACCTCTATGGCCAATACAAATACTTTTTTAAACGTAGTTATATAGTAAAAAATCTGAATGTCTCTTTGATCTCTATTGTAATTCAAGTAGCTAAATATATTAATATTTTAAAAATAATAAAAACTCACACCTATATAGGTACTTACTATTTATTCTATAGCGAATTTATTCAATTATTATAATAAATAAGTATAAATAAATCTATTTATAATTAAATTGTATTTAAGGAAGCTTACAAAATAATGATACACACATAAATTAAAATTTTCAAAAAGACAACACGGTTATCACTAAAAAAGGTATGTAGGTAGATACTATGTCTTGCAAGTTTTGTTGACATAGAGTCAGTAATATGGTTTCTTTATCGCGGTAAGCTTGTCCCTTAAGACTTTTTTTATTAGTAAATAAGCTAAAATATTTTTAGCACATTTTTTTTCTCTCTGAAAATGTATAGTTTGTTAATTAATAATAAATAACGTTTACTGTCGAATATATTAAAAAAAAACAAATACATTGGAATATGAAATAATCTATTAGCTAACTTAACCACTTTAAAGTATCAGTGAGGCTATTAAAAATAACATATACATTTAATATAATTTTATAATCTTTATTTTTAAGGGATAAATTTCTTTAATTCAAAACAAACTAACTATTCACTAAGAGCAGGGCTCGGAACCGGTTTAAAAAAGAACAGTTTATTTCGGTAATGTAATGGCTAATTCATCGCTCGTTCTTTAACCGGTTAATGAAAACGAACGGTTTAGTAAACCGAAATAATAATGGTTCACAGTTATTCTTAGAGAATATAGTACTATAGTATATTATGTATTTAAATAATAATCCTTTGCAATATGTATGTTTTTATGTGACAGCCTTGTTGCTTAGTAACCCTTCTACATCACACCCCTCTTAAAAAAAACTATAATAAAAAAAAACTAAAAACCAAATCTTTCTGGAGCCTTTCGCTTTCTCCGATTTTCTTGGTGGTAATGAGGGGCAAACTAGTGACTGTCCAGATTCAAATGAAGTTGATGGTACAGGGTTCACATCAAATGTGTTGTTACGAGAGGACGAATCTCCTTGGGCTGTAGGTTCAATTTGGCTTTCATTTGATAAATAATATGAAATTTTATTACCATCAGCCACTCTGCTTCGCATTTGGTCTCTATGTTTTCGTTTAATCGTACCATTAATATTTACTAAATAAGAGTAAGGGCCTGTTCTAGAAGTCACTATTCCAGGTTCAGAACCCTTTTGTAACGTTTTGTTTATCCAAACAGAATCTCCAGGTTGAAATGGCATAGGCTGTTTAGTGTTATTTTGTAATTGTTGACGTAAATGTGCTTTTTCCATGTTTCCTCGAACGTCTGGTTTTAATAGATCGAATGTTGAACGCATTATACGTCCAAACATCATTTCAAAAGGAGATCGCTCAGTGGAATGCTGAGGTGTATTTCTTTAACTGAACAAAAAACTACATAATCTTTCATTTAAATCTGAGGTTCGCACCGCTCTTTCTGCCAGCCCATTAGTCCTGGGATGGTATGGCGTGGTTTTAATGTGTGTTATTCCGATAGATTTACAAAAATATCTAAATTCATCAGCTACAAATTGAGGTCCATTGTCTGTTACCTATTAAGCCATTCACCGTTAGCAAAGACGCACCAAATGTAAACACACGAAAACTCATTTTAACCGGTTAATTTTGTTAATGGAATCTAAATTCGTCAAAAACCGTTCTCCCAGATTTAACCGGTTAAAGACCGAAACCGAAAGCTTAAACCGAAAAGCCATTCGATTTGAGGTCATGGCCAAAACCGGTAGTAAAAAAAGTGTAGTTGCTACTTGTTCACACTGTATTGCTTCAAGAAATTGAGAGATTGGTTATTGTTATTGAAATATGTTCCACGAATACTAAATACGTTAGTAACATAATAAAAAACATTGTTTTAAGACATTTCTTATTGCGACTCTCACACATGCTAAAAAGTAGCGATAATATAAGCAATTCCAAACAGACATATATGAGAAGTAACAACTGCTAAAACACTTAATTATTACTTATCAATTTTTCTTAAATAATGTTTTACCTAGGACTTATTGAATGTTTTAATGATATATATGTACTGATATTATTACATTAAGATTAGTCATCTTCAAGACTAAGATTGTAGAAGTGAGACTTTAAGAGTGGCTATTACTATGAGTAACACTTGTTTGGATGAGGCTGTAATTTAAATTTTGTAATTTCTTTTTGAATAAAAATATTTTGATTCTATATGTGGCTGAAGATGATATACTATAATTTACAATGTTACCTAAATGTTTACCTTTAATGTATGTCTCAGTAAAATAAAAGAATATAATTCGATGTGGCCATAGTTGTCTTTTTACAACCTGTTCATTTTTCACCGACCAAAAAGGAGGAGGTTATCAATTCGTCGGAATCTTTTTCTATGTATGTTCACCGATTACTCGAAGACGCCTGAACCGATTTGGAATTTTTTTTAATCTAACCCCAACGTGTAAAGTCCATCAAAAACATTGCGGTCAGTTGACACATTAGCCCCGTCCCATATCAGGGAGCCGGCGTCTAAAGTGGGAGCCGTAGTGGAGATTACTTAAATACTCAAGTTACGTAAATACGCCTTAGTTAAACAGTAATGCTAAGGCATGCATAATTTTGACTAAGGTCCAAATTATGTTTTTATATCATTTGCTATAGAAGCCCTTGGCTCATAGAGTCAAAGTGCCAAGCAATTCTTAAAAGACATAACACCTCGTCTTATCGCCTCTACTGGTGACAGGAAAGCTGGTTCATTTTTCTCGTTGCTCATTCTTGCCACTATTCCATGCGGACATGACTTGTACAGTAATCGTTATATGGCGACGAAATAAAATTATTTTTTATTCGTGAACAAATATCTTTAAAAACTTTTTGTATATACAAACATATATACAAAGTAGCGACTCACCCTCGCTTCGGGTTCGTCCCTCGGCAAAAACAAATCTATCTCACGGGAACCGTACATTTTTCTGGAATGATATATAGCCTTCTTCAATAAACGGGCTATCTAATGCAAAAATAATTTTTCATCGAATTAGTAGGTGCTTAGTTTCTGGGATTAGCACTTTAACACATATACAAAAAGTTTTTAAACCATTCACGAATAAAAACTATTTTATTTTTAATTATAATATACCTAATTAAAATATAAGGTCTATAAATAAATACTTAGTATTAAATAAACTACTTTTTATGCCCGTACAGTATTCCGTATTACGGGAATTTCAGCCTTACAAAACGATAGCCAGGAACACCTGAGCGCAACTAGGGGTCACTGCTCACTAGTATTAAATAAATTCTATTTCTTTACACCTGCAAAGTTATTTATAGCAAGTTGCATGGAGCTTAAGCCTATAACCGGTTTTTATAGCGCATGTGATCAAGGTATACTTCCATACAAAGTGATTATTCTTTATTAGAGTTTAGATATTATTTAATCTAAAGTACTAAACTAAATATCTATTACAGGTCCAGTCATTATAAAGGGGAATAAAAAAGGAAAATACGTTCTTCTTTACAAAGGCTATAAGTACACAAGACGCACAAAATCAAAGAAAGGAATAGTTTGGAAGTGTATTGCGAGTAAATCTGATGAATGTAATGCATCTCTGACAACTGATCCAAATCTAAACGTCGTTTTTAAAAAAGGAAGCCATTTGCATGAGAAACCAGAGGTGGAGTCGAAGCCAAAACATGTTTATTTCATGGCACCTTAAACGTTACTTTAATATTTATATAGGCATAATGAAATTGATACAAAATTAGTAAAAAAAACTCGATAATTAAGATATTATATAATTTTTTTACTTAATACTCATTTAGACTATTTCTAATGAGACATAGTTTAAAATAAAAATACGATATCTGACGTTAGCTTACAATCTTACCTTAGATTTTAATAAGCCTTAATTTTAGCTCATAATAATGATTGTTTTTGGAAACATCGCCAAATTTTTTGTAGGTGTATTGTCAAATATTGTGTGTTTTCTAGTATTACAGTACTCGTATAACACTACCGCTCGACCGAACTAGTCTTGGACTTACTAGGCTTATTCTAGATCAGGGCTGCCCAGACCAGATACAATCGAGGGCCAATATAAGTCACTACACAGATTGGAGGGCCGAAAAAATAAAAATACAGCTACAATGTTAATTGTAATATTATGTACACAGTGCGTGTTTGAGTGACTTATCTGTCAATGAAGACAGTAGGTATAATTTGCTTAATTGTGGTAGATTGGAAAAACATCGCGACCCGCACAATTATTAGCCGGGGGTGGCGTACGGCCCGCGGGTTGTGCTTTGGACAGCCCTGCTCTAGATATATAGAGATCGACCCATGAAGTAAAAGATGATTTTCACGCATACATACTAAGGCTAAGTTCACCTAATTCTTAGTGAATAAATAATTACGGGTACAACGTATACCGAACTTGGGTGCGTCCCTAGCTAGGTACGTGGATTCAGTTTACAATTTCATGGGATTAAATTTTTTTATTATAAATATAATTTTGTCATAATCTAAGAATATTTAGAATTTAAAAAATGCTATTATCATAAAATATAACGTTAATGATTACGAGTAAAAACAAGGTTTTATCTTCTTATTTTATGTACGCAATATATATCTTTAAACTAACAACGGAAACTATTTTCCGGAGTAAATAAGTATGTAGTAGTAGTTCCGGATATTAGCGCGTTCAAACAAACAGATTCTGCCTCTTTATAATATTAATATAGATAAGGAAACGCCAGTTTTATAACTTAGTTAAATTATATCTGAGATGAAAACTGTTTATTCATCCATTGTTCGCTTTCGTTTGACATGAATTTTATTCTAATATTAATCATTTTATAATTAACTAGCACTGCCCGCGGCTCCGCCCGCGACCAAAAACCAAATTCTTAGGTTTTACGTATTAGTATACTCTTACATTGCAGTTTTTGTATTTTTTCTCAGAAATGAGACATTTCCCCGCGGTAAAAAGTACAGATTCGGCTTAGTTACAATTTTATTATATAATTAATATATAAAGATTTGTATTCAGTAACTAGGGGACATGATTATTTTATTAAAGTTATACATTTACGTGAATTTGTAAAATGAAGTTCATATATCAAATAATTATCATTCATATATGTACCCTGTACAAATATTTTTTTTAAATATTTTTTTTATTAAAGTAGTTCGTAAGTAATACATAGATCTTGTTTCATTTTCCTGAATTCTAGTTCGGGTAAGTTATAGTAATAAATGTTAGTATTAATCAAATTTACTTCCCAAGTACATCATAATTTAATAAAAAAATATATATAGTACATAGTGTACTTACATCCATCTTAATATGAAACAGATAAATCAAGACACGCGTAGTTTGTCCAGCCAAGTTTAAGCCAAAGGTTAGCTTTTCTTAAATACGTTTTAGAAACAAATTATAGTGTTACGTATATATATATCGTACTTTGTTGCTAAACAGTATAATAACTAAGGAAAATAAATATTTAATAATGAAATTATATTCGAAAAAGTAAATATCAAATTAATTATTATAAAAATTATATCTATCAATAAAATATATAACCCATATAAAAATAAAATTTGCTAAAATTAATCAAACAAATATTAATAAAGTATTATATTCATCGATATATCAATTGCAGTGAAAGTCGTAACCGCGGTAGACGGCGCTACACTTCTCATGCTCAACGGGTACGTCTTTACCAACCCCTCACCTATGTCAGGGGGTGAGAGGTGGTACTGTTCCGGCAGACTGCGATGGAGATGCAACGTATGTTTACATGTCAACGATGACTACGAATTAGTGTGCATTTCACATGCCCACGCACATGACCCCCCGGTATACCAAATTACCCCTGATGGCCTATACTCTATGGCTATGCCGTAAACGTATTTATTTTCAGATTTTATCATTTAATTTTTTTTAAGAATTTTTATTCTTTAAAGGTTTTTATTGACTGTGTATCATATTATGATATCGAGTGTAACGCTTTTATGACTGACTTTCTGAGAAATCGAAGAATTTTATGAGCTAATTCCTTTCTTTTTAGAATATTATAAATTTTTTTATAAATGATTAGATTTCAATTATAATATTAATATTATACGCCACTACATTATATGAACATGAAATACGTAAAAATAAAATGTGTAAAGCCTATGTGATTTGCAAACAAAGAGTTTGCTCGTACTTTTTGTATTGATTTAAGTGTGAAGACGAGTATTATTTTCTTATAAATGTCTTTATTAATAAGTATTGAAGTATTAAGTGTTATAATTCATATTATAATTATTCTGGGTAAATGTGTATTTATAATAATATTAAAGCGGCCAGCGTCAAAGTTGCCTACTCTTAAGCTACTGCTAAAGGATAGCATGACAAATGCACATACTATATGTAAAACTATATCATTTTTAATTCATTGTGGTGAGTCCGGCAACTTTTTTGCTAATACTTCTTATAAGTAGAGATGTATAAATTAGGTTTGTTTCTATTGCCTTTTACTGGCTACGATGTTGTCTATAATAATGTAAATAACACATAAATACTAAATATATACAAATAAATATGTATACATATTATATCTTTTAATTCAAAAGATTTTATTTTTTGTAGATAAAATATATCGGTACCTGCAAGGAACAACATTGCAACTGAGTATTATAGCGATTTTCAATTTGGACTGCACATAATTTATGAGAAGTTAATTTCTATTTCAACGCTGGGTTACAATGTTATTTTTTGCAAGTGTCGACAAGTCGTAGATCTATAACACGTTGACATTTTTAACACTAGTAATACGTTGTACTTACTCTGTGTGTTCCTGTTATATGTGTTGCCAGTTGCCACTGATCATACTTGCAAACCGTTTAAAGATTTATTATTTTTATTTATCATTGATTTCCATTATCTCTTAATTGGAAAAGTTGGCCATATCTGTAAATTAATGATATTTACCAGAAAAATTATCATTCCTTAATTGTGGTTTTTATTACCATGCATTTATAGAGTACATTTACGCACTTATCGTAAGAAAACGTTTTTATATTATATTAAATATTATTTTTATTTAACGCATTTAGGATTATTTGGTATTTGTATATATTGTATGGTATATATTGTATGGTGTTTGGTAGATATAACTTGTAGAGAACATGTATTAATATTTTTGATATTACAGCTATACAATATGAATTCATCCCTTCAGTAACTGGGAAGCGAAATTTGATTTTACTGGATAGTTACACTTTTGTTCCTATAAATAATGACAATAGATATTGGTATTGTACAGAGAAGTTTTTTCACAAATGTGGAGCCAAAATACGTTTAGGCGTAAACCGCGAAGTGGTAAATGCGACTCTTGAACATACACATGATGCTCCAAAATTATTTAAAAGTAAACATGGCACTATTGTAAAAATTAGATAGGAAATACGATGAAAGTCTATGTTATTTTAAATGATAAAACTTGTAAATAAAAAAAATACAATACATATAAATATATGTTTGATTTGAACTGGCGGTATAAATAAGGGAAATATGTAGTTATTATACGTATAAAGCATGGACATTTTAGTCTTTTCATAAACCGTGTATGTTCAGTAGTTAATTCTCAATAACTGCTACTAGCCTTAAGCCTAAATAAAATTAGTGTTGACACGCTTTATTTAACCATAAAAAATGCTTACCTAAATACTTATTAAATAGAATATAAACCCATGTATAATGTATATAATCTCAGTAGACTTTCCACAGTAGTTTTTTATTTTTTTGCTATGTACTACCTACCTCCCTAACTTTATACAACTTGTAATAAAAAAATTCAAAAATATTTTGCATTATTTTCCTTAATTTATACAGTTGACCCAATTTATCCATATTTGCATAACGTATAACCAACCACACCATTTGTTGCTTATTATTACTAGATTTACAAAGTTTTATTTTATTTTTTCAGTTACAGTAGTCACGTTATCTACGGGCAATACATTTCTCGTAATAGACGGCCATACGTTCAGAAAGGAGGTTTGTGTTAACGGAGCAACTAGTAGATGGTGTTGCAACGAACCAAGTCATGGGAAGTGCGATGTGTACGCGCATGTAAACGACAAATACGAGCTGGTCTTGATGGTTAACAAGCATAACCACGCACCAATATTGTGCAAAATCTTACAAGGCAGAATAATATAGTTCTTTTTAATTATTTTTTTATTTCTTTGCATGTTTTTTTTTAATTACTAGACTTAAGATTCAGGTTAGGACAGACTTTTAAGTTTTTGCAATACTTTTTATCTAGCTATATCCTGCGGATGTGAATTGACATTTTTTAAATATAAATTTGTTGTATTAAAAGTTATTTTTAATAATATCTTGGTGTTTTATTTCAATTCCTTTTTACTTCTCTCTCTTTTTTATTTTACTCGATTTATAAATTATGTTTATTTCTAAATAATGTTTTCATAGATTTACGCGAATATTTGATATTTAAAATAAAACTAATCTTTTCGGATTTTTTCTTCGTTGTCTCTTTCTTGACCATGATTGCTATAAAGCATTCGGGAACCAAAAATCAAAATAAATCCAGGAAAAAATCTGAAAAATAGTACAATATTTTTTATTTCTACATTTAATGATATTAATGGTTATTGTTTTGTTTTTCAGAATTTGAATATACAGATGAAAATGGAAGTTTCTTAGAGGATAATTTGAGAAGTGATAATATAGCTATGTTCTTAGAATCTAGGAAAGGTAAGACGATCCTTCAATACGATGGATATAGATATCGTAAAGCTTATAAAACTAAGAACGGCACTCGTTGGAACTGTTCTTCGAAGAACTGTGGGAGCTTTGTATACTTAAATGATCAAGATGAAATTATAATGACATCGAAATATCATGACCATCCAAGACCTGGGAGTCCAATAGATAGTATTGATCCAGATTCTTTAGGTACGTTTTTTTCTATTTCTATCATCATTCATAATTGATAGGTATAGTAAAAAATTTTCGTGTTAAAAGTTTAGTCCAAAATCGTCCTCTCAGTAATTCCTTATAATTTTTACAACATGCCAAAAAATTACTGGTCGTAAACATTTGTATAAGTCATGTTAGTCCATTGATGCGTTCTTAAGCTAACAAGCACATTCGCATATGTAGTATTATGATTGATAATAAGATTAAGTAATATCTGCGATGTTTAATAATTGAAATATTTCTGCCCACAGACACAGCTGTAGTAATAACTTCAAGGAAGGGCAAAGAAATGCTCCTTTTCCGAAGCTATACTTATCGAAAGCAATACGATAAAGGTCATAAATCTAGATGGGTTTGCTCCACACTGAAGAACTGTCGGGCTTGTGTATTCACAGATTCGAACAACCTCATAACATCAGCGTATGAAGAACATGAACACGACCCACCAAAATATTATCTAAATCCTAATCATTTGCTTGGAGCCCTAAGAGAGCCTTTGGTTTTTGAATCCGATTAAAACATTGATAAGTTAGATATGCATATTATTATGACCTTAGTATGCCACTCGCTTTATATAAATAAATGTGCCGCTCTAAAATAAATTGCAACTGTTGGTCAACGTTACTAACAAAATAGCAGGGTGCATGCTCGAATAGCATCACCTGCGAAAGTTATATGTAAAGTTTATCATATAATAATAAAAATAAAAATATTATATACCTTTACAATGCTGTGCTAGAATCGTGTACCTATCTAAAATCTAAATACATAATACTATGAGTTTATAATTAAAATTCATAGTTTTAATATTTGCAAAAATTTTACTTAAAGAACTTAAGGAACACTCATCCGTGAGTTTAGTAAGAGAAATTTTACATTGTCCAAAAAATAATTTACTTATGTCACAGATCTACATAATAATCAAAGAATTTGACGGTTGACGGATTGAATTCAAAATCTATATTATTACTAGCATTGCCCGCGGCTCCGCCCGCGTTTAGATGACCAAAAACCAAATTCTTAGAATTTACATATTAGTATACTCTTACATTACAGTTTTTGTATTTTTTCTCAGAAGTGAAACATTTTCCCGCGGTAAAAAGTATTCTATATGTTGACCCGGATAACCAGCTATCACCATACCAAATTTCATCAAAATCGCTATAGTGGTTTTTCTGTGATGCGGTAACAGACAGACAGACAAAAATTCTAAAAACTATAGATTCGACCTCTGTATCGATAATAATGTTTATTTCAATAAAATTTTCCAAAAAATATTCAATGTACAGATTTGGCTTGGTTACAATTTTATTATATGTATAGATTATTATTTATTAAATGTATTGTCTGTAAATAATAAAAGCTGCTTTTTGTCTATTAGGATAATCTTTCTAAACTACTTTCTTTAGGGTTTTGAACCTATTTAAACCTATGAATATTACTATACCTAATTTTTATATTAATAATAAGAATAATTGTCTTCATTTTGTAGGAATTTTCGAAAGATATGGTCTTCAGATTTTTTTTACATTGTATAAGTACATCTTTTCCTATTAATTTTGTGATGGACAGGTACATAACGGCACGGCTGCACGTTTACAATGCTAGTACTATTAAATCATTATTATATATATTATTATTATATTATTGTATAATCAGTAAGTACATTATTGTTTAATTCTACTATAATTGTAAAATTATAGTTTTCATTACATTTTGAAAGAAGAACGATTTACTACTCAATACTTTCTTAGATTTTCACGAGTATTTGACATTTTAAATTCCCGACATTTCGTCCAATATTTTTCATTTATAAATGTAGCAATAGTATTGCTTAATATTTTGATTTTAATTAATAATAGCAAACTAAATTAAAATTAATATTCTTAATTTTTTTTACTTTTTAAATTACATATAGAACAATAATATGACTTGAATTATAATTAATATTTTATTTTTATCTATGGTTATAAACATAATTATAGCAACATTAAGTAAGATTAATAAAGTTTTTTTTTAAAACAATTATACCTGTCATATATAGTAATAAAACTTATTAAGATTATAAAAAATGTTTAAAATTAAAATTAACAAATATTGTAAGGTACCTACTTTGGTGCCATTTATGTATAAATATGAATTCATTTTGTAATTTTGTGGGTAGGCTGTCTGTGACAACTAAATATATACCTAATGCCTTTGAAACGTCTAAAATCTTAGTCTCTCTCGGGACCATGATTGCTGTAAAGATTTCGAAACATCGGGAACCAAAAATCAAAAATAAATCCGCTAAAACATCCGAAAAGATAGTTTTATTTAAAATATACATATTCATTTCAAAACGTTATCAAAACTATAATTATATGACTTAAACATAGATGCTGAAAATAACTTTAATTTATGTTTGATGTATTTAATCTTCTACTTTTTGACTTATGTTTCGATTGTGAAATAATCATAATCCTTAATATTATTTCATGGAGATGATTAGTTTTATACCGACATTAATAAAATGAAAAAATAAAGCTGCAATTTTTAGGTAACTATATAACTGAAACAAGTGAGATGCAATTTGTTTGTTATTAAATTTACTTACATGTTTTTTTTAATTAAAACGGACAATTGGAAATGTTTTTTGTCTCATTCTTGCTCGTAAATTGTCATTATTATAAACTAGCGACTCAACCTCAATTCGCTCAAGTTCGTCCCTAGCTTGCTTCCTAATACAAACTTTCATCCCCATTTTCACCCCCTTGAGGGATGATTTCTGGGCTAAAAATCCTATATCGTTCCCAGAGTCTCAAATTATCTTCTTACCAAATTTCATCTAAATCGGTTCAGTAGACCCAGAGCTTACCCCCTACAACGTCACAAACTCATAAACCTACAAACTCACAAATTCACAACCACACAAACTTTACCTCTTTATAATATTACTATCAGAAGCCCAACCCGCGGTTTCGCTCTCGCTAAAACTACAAAAAAACCTCTAAAACGCTAAGTAGGTTTCATGCAAACTTTCATCCGCTATTTTACCTTCATATGGGATGAATTTCGAAAAATGCTAAAACACGTGTTTAATTAATTGTATTGAAGAGCATTAATACCAAGTTTCAAGTAATTCTGATCTTAAATATTTTTTTGGATTGTATTATAACGTGTTTTCCCGTGGGAAAGAGATAATCTGTCGCGGTGAAAATCGGATCGCGGGATTTCTTATCTCTGAGAAATCTATACTAACCGTTAAAACGTATCTAGGGGACTCACCCGAGCGAAGTGAGGGTAAGTCTCTAGTATGAAATATAATAGCAATTTAAATAATAAGACTAATGAAGATCTTTTGCTTCGAAAATTAAATTACTTTCTATTAATCGACTTCCCATCGTTTTATACGTGTATTTAAAATTAAACAACCAGACTAGCTGTGGGTTTTAATAGCCTATTCATCTTAAGTTTTACTTACTGGAGATAGAAATTTGACATAATTTAGCTCGTAAGGGAACCGCAAAAGAAGTATGAAGACCGCCTGAAATGGATTGATTGACGCCTTAAATGGTAATAATGCCGTTTAAGGCGTCAATCAATCAAATTTTAGCATATAAATAATTATATGCAAAAATTTCAATATACGGTACCAGAAGTGCTTCTCATAATGAAGTAAACTGAGTTTGTTCTCACACTCTCCACTCAATGATCTAAAACATTTAGCGGTGAAGTAGTCAGTACGCTATTTTAAATGTGACGATTTTATAAATCCTCAATATGGTTTTTTAAGATATAACTAGCGGCTGGCACTCCCTTGTTCGGATCGCCTCTAGAAAAGCACATACTAAAAAGCAACAGATAGAAAGTAACCTGTTGTTTGACCGGCAATATAAGGTATCAAGCAAGCCAAATTTTACTAAGTTAGGGGCATAAGTTGTTGTAACTAAGGCCTAAGCTATACAGCTTCAAAAAATCTATAGTTATTAACTATCCCACGGGAACTCTTTAATTTTCCTGGATGAAAAGTATCTAAAATGTTGACCGGGGGTTTATGGTACCACCATACAAAATTTCATTTAAATCGGTCCAATAGTTTCGGAAATTAGCTCGTACAAACAGACAGACAGATAAATAAAAAAATTGAAAAAAAAAACGGATTTGTTCTATTTTTCTTCTTACATCCCCCTGACTCGGTTTTTAGCATTTTTTTTTAATTACAAACACTCGACCTCTACATTTTAATTATATGTAGGGGGAGTCCGGGAGAGTATACCCGTGCTCGACTAAAATGCTTATATTTTTTTCTACAACTAGAAGTTACTATTTTTTGTGAATTGTATCTTGAGCTGCATTATTTAGCTATATTTTCTCTTAGGAAAGTTTGATGTAACTTCAATAGTTTCGCAGTTATTAGCGAAATCTTCCAAAATGAGATTTGACTAATTTCTCCCACCTGGGTGGGAGACTTGACCCCCTAAGTAGGGAGCTATTACCCGGGTTTTAAAATAAGTAAAATAATCATTAAACAACTTTTATTTTATAAAAAAATAGTAATATTAAAGACAAGGCACTTATTATACTTAATAAAATGTTAACATGAGGTATTTTGAGGTATGTATATAAGGAACTAACTAGTATCACACATATTTTGAGATATAACTTAGTTACTATAAAAATAATAAGTATTTAAAAGCTTATAATTAGTAGTCCTTCATAACAAAATTATATTTTTTTAATGTAAAGCAATAATATCAATCACAACAAACAACAATACTTTCTAATTTTTGGCAATAATTACTTAAATCTGTCTAAAACAGTATGTCTTATAATCATCATTACAATAACTATTAAATTACTAATCAGTCTTGGATACCCTTTTCATTATCAACTTAACAAAAATTAAAATTACTATTAAACTAAAGAACAAAAATACAATTCAAAACAATAGAATTAAATCAACATCAAAAATAATTATAATCTTAATAAATTTCTTATTAATTAGAACAGAGAGGGCAAATAAACTCTTCCTTATCTTCTTTAGACAATCCAACACACATTTCATGGACATATTTGCCACAAATCATACAAAGTCTCATGTCTATCTTTTCGTCCGCCCCACATACGAAACAAAACCAACTATCACTTCTATCTGGTAATTCATCCCATGTGCTATCGGAGCTAACATACTTGGGTTCTCCTTCAAGATCTGTCTCACTTTCACTTGACTGTAAAACTTGTCTTTTGACAGTTCTTTTCTTTGTTTTGCCTTTCTGTTTATTTTTAGTTACTTTAGTTTTCATCTTTTTCGGTTTACAATGGTCTTGTTCTAAGTCTTGTTTTTCTGGTGTTTTAGTTAAAATTTTAGTTTTCCCAGGCTGTCTACCAAAACGTTTACTTTTTCTAGGTGCAGATTTTGGAAAAGGTCTAATTATTTCTGGTAAAATTATTTTTGGCTTTTGTCTTGAGTCTACAGTTGAAATATCCAGAAGTTGAGATGTTGTAGCCACCTCTTTTGATTGTTCTAAAATTAGGATTGCATACCCAGAATGTTCCTCCGTTAAAATTGATGGTGAAATTAAAAATCTGTAATAAAATATATGAAATATACATGAAAATCGGCCAAAAGTTAGTTATTTAAAAATATATTTACTATACATATTTTTTATATATTTATAAATAAAAAATATGTATAGTATAGATTTTTAATATATTTATAATATATTTTTTATACATTTTGACATTTATTTCTTTAATATATTTTTTTTCATGGGGGTATACTCACGATAAAATCGTGAAGGCATTATTAATTCGATTTTGTCTATTCAGATTATCAGTATGGATGAATCTGTATCATCTGCAATAAGGCAGATGATAAGCAAGTGTATGAAATAAAAAAGGTCTTTTGTTTTTTGCATTTTCTCAGAAGATTTACTATAGTAACATATATATTTTTTTCACCATCGGAAAGTAGAGATTTCAACAAACAGAAAACATACCAACTTTTTGAAAAAAGCTGATATTTTGACGGGTGAATTTTCGATTGAAAATGAGGGTGCTTTTTCGATATTGATTCAAAATAAGGTGAGAAAATAAATATTTTTAATCAAATAAATTACAGCGTATTTGGGACATAAAAAGGTACGTTTTCACCAAATTTCGTTAAAACAAAAACATTTTTGTAAAAGATAAAAATAAAAAACCAAAAACTTGGTTTTTTTAATTTTTCACATAAATTTTGAGGTTATGTGAAAAAAGTGCAAATACAAAAGTTTTAGATCGTTTTATTACCTACAACTTTGCCATATAACTTTTTTCGATAGGACTTTTAGTTTTGCCGGAAATCGAGAAAAACCGTTTTTTACCCTTAAAAGCTGACCCCCCACCCCTTCCCGACCTTAGATCGCCCGTAAATTATTTTTCCTTTCATTTTTATAATATTCCCCTCCTTTTCTAATGGGTTTCATCCTACTATTATTTTTTTTGGTTTTAAAAATTTTCGACCCTGGTCTATACATACTTTACCACTCCATAAAATTAGTTTAGACTTTCTTGGATTTTGGTAAAAAACTCTCTAAGACTAACCATTTACCTACTAACCATCTGCTACTGAGATTTTTTTATTAAAATCCCAATAATTATCTTGTCCCCAATCGGGACATAACGCTAAGCACCAGAGATGAGACAGACCGAGAGATATATATACAAGACAAGACGTATATACGTATGTATATATGTATGAAACAATTTCTCAAAGATTAATTTTATATTTTTTACACGAATATCTTCGTATCGTATCGTAATACAGGAAGATCTTGTCTGGCATTTTACATCGTCGTCTGGTTGAGATGACATCTGATCCATTCAATTAGAGAAGGTGATATACATATGTTATGTTTTTGGACGTTTTAATAAAATTACTAGCTTTTTCGACTTTTTCCTAACTCAGTAGGCACCGCTTGTAACCTTAACCGTAACATACTGTTCATCGAATATTCAAATATTATTTAGTTTATCCTCCTCCTAATAGATGGCTCTAAGCTAATATTTCGAGGAAAGTAACGTTTATGGTACGATTAAAAATGTCAAAGATCGAGGATTTGATTCCGTTTTCAAAGCTAGCGCTATTTCTTTGTTACGGCTATATCATATCACTGCGGTCTGCGACCATGCCTGTGAAAATACTAGCGCTAGCAACCAATATGCGAAATAAATGGCTTAAATACGAGAAATGTATCCGTAAATATTTAGTATTCTATAATATTAAATGAACCATTTTTCTATATATATTAATTTATCTATACATATAATAAAATTGTAACTAAGTCGAATCTGTACATTAAATATTTTTTGTAAAATCTAAATGAAATAGACATTATTATCGATACAGTCCGAATCTATAGTTTTTAGAATTTTTGTCTGTCTGTTACCGCATCACGAGAAAACCACTGGACAGATTTTGATGAAATTTGTATGATGATAGCTGGTTATCCGGGTCAACATATAGGATACTTTTTACCGCGGGAAAATATCTCATTTCTGAGAAAAAATACAAAAACTGCATTGTAAGAGTATACTAATATGTAAAACCTAAGAATTTGGTTTTTGGTCACCTGAACGCGGGCGGAGCCGCGGGCAATGCTAGTTTTATATCTCGGAAACGGCTAACGATTAGGATGAATTTTTATTTAGATAGTTTTCCTTTTCAAATTTATCACCGGTCTTTTCTAAAAAAACGCATTTTTCATATCTGTTCTGAAAAACGTCGAGGGAAACTTGTTCGCCCAGGTGCTTAATAAATAACGGTTAAATTATATATACTCAGTCGAAGCGCTGTAATTACATTTTAAACCAACTTGGTAGTTTCAATTCAAGAGAATCTGTGAGCGTGCCTTAGCCTAATTTAAATAATATATAGGTAGGTAGTGAAAGGGTCAGAAATTGTCATTTCTATGGAACTGGATTTGAACCTGTTTGAACACACTCGATGCCGCATTTTAATGATTACATCCTCGAACTTTTATTACTTAGTAAGTATTATAATGCTAAATGTATTTCTGTAAATTTAAAAATATATTTGTTACTTATTTCTATTTACACATTTTTTTATTTTTTAACAATGAAACAACAAACAATGAAATGTTCTAGAATTTATTTTTATTAAGAAAAAGGTTTTGTATAAAATCATAATAATTGTGTCTTAATTTATTTTTATGATTTAATTGATACACAGTAAAAATATTGTACAAAATTATTTAACTACATAATGCTATTACAAAAAAATCACAAAAATATAAAATAACTCCACATTTACATAGAATCAGTTCATACGTCATAATAGAATAAATGAGAATTAAATTATAATATTAACAATATATTTAAAAAAGAGGATAATCCATAAACACTCTTTATTTAAGATCATTCAGAATATCAACATTTGCATTTAATATTGTTTGATTTTAACATTTTCGTTATCCAATAATAAAGAGGTTTTATTTAACATTAAGGTTTCAGTCTTTTCTCTTTTCATAAAATGTTAGTGCTTGTGTATTTAATAAATATTATTAATAATAACAATCAGTCTCATTTTTTAATTTTTATACAAAAAAAAATGTAATAAAAAATCATTTGAGTAAAGTCACATATATAAAGAATATCCTTGTAAGCTTTTTAATATTACAAGCAATCTATCTAAATCTGAGAACTATTTGAATAAAGTATGACATCAAAAATATTATTTTCTTTACTTATTTACATTATAATGTATATTTATTTAGGATCAATAAATATTCTTTATTACACAGTTTTTTAAATTACATATGAAATGTTCATAATGTTTATTATGTATAGCCTCCCTAGTATAAATATAAATCAATACATATTTATTATAAAACTCAGTCCATTCCTATACTTATCTTTATTTCTTATCTAAAAAAAGTATAAATAATATTATAAAAAATATTGAGGTATGATGAGGTAGAAAATTAAATTCCATCTTAATAATTATCTAAAGTCATTTGTTGAATTTGATGTACATGCGTACAGTAATGTTTAAGTAGCAACATAGCCAAGAAAATGTATGTTTGGGTACACTGTGCCTTTCAGGACATTATTATTTTAAATTATACAACTTTAAAAGATCCATCATTCCGACGGTAAAACCCTGGAGGAGGATGGTTGTGTTTGTTTCTCACCCGATTCACAACAGTCTTGAGTTGTTGAAACACTGTAGTAACGTCGACGTGACACCCTGTTTTAGTGCGTGATGTACAGTACCATTGCTTTTTTCCATAAGCCAATTTATTCTTCAGCCGAAATGCATATCCGTTGTGCACTAAAAGCATACTGCCTTTTCTTGTTGGTATAAAGTTTGCTTCTGAAATATACCATGTATATTGTAATTTATGTGTCAAAACAAGTTAACTTTTAATAAAATCATATCACATTATAAAATAAAACAATTCATGTTGCTGACATGTTTATTTAGTAAATTTTAAGTTTGTATTTTTACATTTGTTTTAATTTAAGTATTAATTTTGTTTAACAAAAATTGATACATAATACAAAAAATACATTTATTTCATTACAATATACACAATACACATTGCATTTGCAATATTTACAAAATATTTGACCGCCTTAACCTGAGCATCATTTCAAATATCTTAAATCACACACAGTTTTCTTCATAGTTTCACTTTTCACACAAGAAAAACACATTTCCTTATATAGTAATCGAAAATTCGTATTATTTCTGATTACTACAATGTTTTTAGAATATAATGACGACAACGCTATAACAAAAGTCAAAAACACATGCATGACGCACGCGACTTTCATGACGCAACTCATATTAGTGTTGCTATAATATGTTAATTAATATGCAAGATTCAATAGTGATAAAAATTTAATTAGCAATCTTCGACATGATATATAAAACTAATTTAGTTGTTCTATTTAAAATTTATAAACTATAATATTATTTTTGTAAATAATTGACGTAAAGTATATTATATGAAAATTGAAAAATATTCTATTTGTTCAAACGAAACGTTATGAATGTTATGAAATTGACAGATAGATAGCTGATAGTTATGAAATATGAATATGTCAAACATGTGCCAATGTATACCTATAAGTTATGAAATTTGTGCTTTAGAAACTTTATTTTCGGTGTAGAATAGTATTCATGAATAACAATTCATGAGATAATTACTATGTAAACAATATTTTGTGTTAATATAGCATTCCAATTTAAATATTCAATATTTTTAAATCAAAAGTGTATTTTAAAAAGTGCTTCATTGCTATTCTTTAGATTTTTAAGTTCTTGATAGTATTGTTTCGTAATAAAAGTAAAGTAATGAGAAATGGAAAAAATAATTCATTAGAGTTCATAGCAAAACACTACAAAACTTAATACAATTTAACTGTTTTGGGTCTGATATACAACCAAATGAAATATGTATAAAAAACAGACTAACTGTTATAAACCTCACTAATATTTGATATGTGAATATAGCAACAAATATTTTTCAAAGAATAATAAATATATTTAGACATCATTTGTTTAATTTTCTTTCCTTATTATTCTTAGTGTTATGTTTTTAAGGAACTCATTATTTACCTCAAACTAAGATATATATTTTTTTCAGGAATCTTTATTAATACGAGAGGAAATTCTAAGCTTTTTATCTACCAGAATCATACATTCAGATTTATGTATAAAAAAGCATATGGAAGTCAACTGTGGTATTGTTGGTACTTCTTTAGCAGATGTTGTCCAGCAAAATTAAGAATAAATAATGCAGGTAAAGTGACAGAAACCATTGGTGGACACAATCATGATCCTCCAACGTGTTGGATGACCCCTGATGGAAAATCCTACAACCTTCCACCGTTACCAGATAAAAGCACACAAAAGGAATAAACTATAAAAATACTCCAAAAAAAGAAGATAGGTATGTATGTAATATACCATTTTTTGTAATAAGAGCTCTATCAATTAAAATATTAAAGTATTTAAAATTTGTGTTTTACTATGCAATAAGAGATTTAACAAACTATTTACTGAGATTCTATATATTAATATATTATATACAAATTTTATTTTCATATTGTATTTTAGTCAATAAGAATATAAGGTGTTTATTAAATATTTTTCCATTTCATTTGTTATTTTTCCATTGTGACATACTTCAAGTGATCTTACATATAAGGATGATTAAATATGATGGTTTTAGTTTTGAACCATTCTTGAATATATTTTTATTATGTTGATATTATTTTATATGTCACAAATTTGTTATGAATGGCAACATGTGTGTAAAATGCAAATAAAGATGAAATGATTATCTAAATTGGATGAAGGTTAATATTCAACTTAGTGGTTCTGCTTAAGTGTTCCAAATATAAATAACATTGAATAATTAACATAATATTTTAATCTTTAAGTTGTAGATATATTTTTGTTAATACTGCCAGTTTTATTTAAAACATTATTTTTTTTACTGTTTCATATTTTTTAAAGTCCAAAGTATTTTATTGATCCAAAGTTTTATCTAATATATAAAACAAGCATGTAGTGTTTGTAGTTTTGTTTTTAACTGTCTTTGTGTATGTTTAGATAGACTATCAAATGAATTAAACATGTGCTAATAGTTAAAATTAAAAGAGTCTTTGAATTTGTGTATATTAAATTACAGAACTCGGAAATGACCTAAGTATTTAATCAAATGTTTAGAATATAAGCAAACTACTGATGCTAGAATAGTCATAGCTGGTTTTATATGTCATACTTGATTCCTATTATGAAAATAAGAATTATTTTGTTAGAAGAATGCCTTATAAGTATAATTTAAAGTACTAAAAAAATTGTAAAAAAACTCGCATTATGTTTTTAAGAGTTGTAACAAATTGTTTTCAATTGAGAATGTTTAAAATAAAAAAGTCATTAACATGCATCAAATTAAATACATTGGTTTCATTTTGTTGCATAATAAGCTATAGTTCATTAAACTTTAAACCTTATGAACTAGGGACTAGAATTGATTATCCTATATCTAACGAAATCGAGGGTCCACAATAAAGTGTTTTCTCAAGCCATATAAGACCTTACAATAAGGTCGTAGAGTCATTTTTAACGTGACTATTGACAATTTAGCTCATTAATACTTAATACAAGAAGTGGGAGTCCAGACAGATCGATTGATTAATAAATTGAGTGATCGCAATTGATATTATTATTCTATTTTTGTTTATTAGACAAAAGTTCAGTTCAAAAATATTAGTAACATAACACTTCATAACATGTTTCTATAAATAATAAATATTTCAAATACTCCTAGTATTCGATTAACACCTCCAGGTAAATTTCTAAGAAATTAATTGTCTAAGAAATCTATTGGTAACTGTAACGCCGGCGGGATTAAACACATTTTATAATCTGTGCAAGTGTTCATTCAAAAATGTAAAACTACCCCTAAATATTACCGCACTAGTGGCTTTGCAACTAGGAATTTGAGGTTGGCAAAGAGTAGCTTATGCCTATCTTTATATATATAATTCTTCTGTGAGTGTGTATGTCACTGAACTTCTCTCAAACGTCTGGACCGATTTTGATGAAATTTTTTGTGTGTGTTCAAGGGGATCTGAGAATGGTTTGATTCACAATTTGAATAATAATTTTCATCAAAATGGTCCAGAATGTTTTAGCTTATTAAAAAAAGTTTGAAATTTTCAAATTAAAGACGTGTAGACAGGACAACGTCTGTCGGGTCCGCTAGTCCAAATATAAATGCTGGTATTAAGGAATTAAAACTGATTTGATCTATAATCACATCGAGTAATTCGACCCTGATAAGATATATTATTTTCCTAAACGATTTCACGGACACGACAGTTAAACTTGCTGAGTAACCTTCTACGATAATATATTGGTTTATCTCTTTTTCAACCGACTTCAAAAAAGAGGAGGTTCTCAATTCGACTGCTTTTTTTTTATGTTTGTTACCTCAGAACTTCGTCATTTATTAACCGATTTGGACAATTTTTGTTTTGTTTGAAAGGGTATACTTCCAGAAACTTTGCAAGTGTTTCTATTTCCGTTGATAGTACAGTGGTTCAGTATTGTTGACCTGATCTGATGGTAAGGCCAGAAGGTGGATAGGTGGAACTCTTCAACGGCTAATAGTAGATACTTTGAGTTTGGGCTTATTTTGTTTGATTTGACAAGCCTAACACATTAGAATTCTTACTTTGCTACTACTGTCTACACTAAAAAGGGAAAAATAAAAAAAAAAATAACAAAAAAATAAAAACCGTCTTCAAACAAAAGCACTAAAAAGTAAAAAATAACTGATTGGTAGTTTTCATTTACTATACATACCTAATCAAATATTTTCGAAGTCGGTGTGCTTTGGCTAAGTAATTAAAGCCTACCTATTAAATACATACCTAATCAAATATTTTCGAAATCGGTGCCAGCCCATACAAAGCAATGTCTAATGTCAGGAACTACAAATTCGATTTGAAAAGTTCTTTTTGCATTAAATAGCCCTTTATTTAGTATATTTGGTAGGTACCTATGAGAATATGTCGTAAAGTATTTTTCACCCTCCTTCCCCCACCCTCCATTTTTTAAGTAACCAGAGGCGAACCCGAGCTCAAAGAGGCCGACTCGCTAGTATCATGTACCTAATATATATTTAGCCTATCTATTTCATACTAACCGTTAAAAGTATTATACAAAAGATTAACTAATATAATAAAGGGGAGTCTTGACCAGCGTGACTAAGAGAAGGTTTAATTGCGTAAATTCTTAATAATATTTTTGATTTTTCAGAATTTCCCGTTCCAGTTTACGCTACTTCCCGCCGTGGCAAACCAATGATGATGTTCGAAAATAACAAATTTACTATACATTCGACATCAGGTCCGAAAATTCGTTGGCAGTGCGCGTTGCAAAGGAAACTCTATTGTAATGCCATTGTTCATACCATAGATAATGTAATTGTTAAAACTACAAATAAACATTCACATTAATAATAGATTATTGTTGTTATCCTTTTCGACTAATAGGGATTTTTGTTTATACTTTATATTTTTTTATAAGTTCTGAAATATAGATCCCATCAAAAACATACTGTAAAAATATTGCAAGTCTCGCAACGCATCTCTCTACCGCAAAAAGCTATGAGATATAATGTAAAACCAAGTCGGTTAATTTATTCATTACCTATCTATGGAAGCATCTATCCGACAACTTTATCATAAATCGTTACCGAATTAGTTAAGTTACAACATTTTATAGTGACCGTATTAATATTAGATATATTTATTTCTT